ACATAGGACTCTAATGTACTCTAATGTGAACTTTTCCTGTAATAAGAAGTTATAAGTTAGCATAGTATATCACTCAGGACTTTATGTCGCATGGTAAATGTTTGTGAAGTGGTTTGGACACCTAACAAGAATTCCCTGGTACTATCTACCACAGCGAGCCATACTGAAACATTACAACGGGTACTGATCTAGCGGAAGATCTAGAAAAATATGGAGTGATGGCATTAAGAACAGCCTTACAGGAATGAACATCAATCTTAAAAGTGCTCTTGACAGAGCTCATCAACGAACGTTACCTCTCCCCCGACACTTTACTGAGGTACAAGGTGAAAGAGAAGAGGATGAAGAAAAAGTAAATGTTTGTTATTAGACCATTAGTGAAACGTTTTATAGACATGACGCAGATGTGGTTTTATGTACGGATGATGAGAATACTACAGACAGAAATAAAAATAAAAATTATGAAGATGTCTTGAAACAAACACCTCACTAATGGAAACCGACTGCTGAAATCAGAAGGAGACCGTCTGTATTCGTAGGCCATTTGATGATATGACTAGATAGCACCCTGATAGTGGAACAGTTGGAGGAGAGTTGAGTTGAGTTGAGTCGAGTCAAGAATTGACCTTACAGCACTCAGGGCATTCCCATGCGTGCTCTGTCCTCATCTTTAGCACCCAGCACAGAGTTCTAATACTGATGGACCGGTCACAATCTGGTTTTTGTCCGTCTTGCCTTTCCTCTAAGTTTAGTGAGCCGGCAGACCCTCTGGTGCCTCATTCTCTCCAGGCAGTTGGAGGAGAGATGAGTTGAGTTGAGTCAAGAATTGATCTTACAGCACTCGGGGCATTCCCATGCGTGCTCCGTCCTCATCTTCAGCACCCAGCACAGAGTTCCAATACTGATGGTATATGTCACAATCTGGTTTATGTCCGTCTTGCCTTTCCTCTGAGTATAGTGAGCGGGCCAGACCCTCTGGTTACATCCAGGTGCCTCATTCTCTCCAGGCAGTTGGAGGAGAAAAGAGGCAGAGGGAGACCCAGAAGGAGAGAGACGTGACGGAGATTTTGACATTATGGCATGAAGGATTACGTGTGTTAAAAAAGTATGTTGAAAGTGAATTGAACTAGACAATACAGGAGGTTGTGTTTTGACAAAACTTTTAAAGCCAAGCGACATATTGACTATAAGGATAAGTAGTACATGTTTGCATAAAGCGAGGCAGTAAATTAACAAGAATTTTAATAATGTAATCAGTAATATCATATATATATATATATATATATATATATATATATATATATATATATATATATATATATATATATATATATATATATATATATATATTGTTGATATATTTGACTGTTTTTTCAAGCCTATGGTTCAGTGCGTCCGATTTCGATCAGCTATGTTTGTTTTGATTTCCCCTGCCCTTCTGTCCATAGTTAAGATGACGCATAGTCCCCTGGCATATCTTTTATTGGAGAGGGGGAGGGGGCGGCGGGCAGGAGGCCTAATCCATTCCTCTATGTGGCCTTAAATTGTTCGTGGCACTCTAACGGGTTCTGAGCAGGGCTGGATTAACCACTTTGCACCCTAAGCGCGTGCTTAGGGAATCACTAAGGGAGGGAGCCCAACATAAATTTTCCTTCGAGCTAGCGTTTACTTTCTCGTTTGAAGTATATTTGAAAATCCTTTCAGAACAAAGCTGCAATAAGGCAGGCTAGCTGCCGCATCTTTAGAGAAGTAGATGTGTGACATGAATGTTTGAGGATTTGATCCAAGACTTTGCAATTAAAAGTAAAAAAAAGTATCAGGAAATGTTTCAAATATAAATAAGGTAGAAGTGTACAGCAATAGACATTATTTTTAGTCCTACCATAGGCTTTTTTTAAAATGTTTATTTGTACTCTGAATCACACACACACTCACTCACATACACACGCACACACACGCGCGCGCGCACACACACTCACACACGCGTACACGCACGCATGCACACACACGCACGCGCACACACACATACACGTGCGCGCGCACATGCACACTCACGCATGCACACACACACACACGCGCGCGCACACGCACGCATGCACACACACACACACACACATAGAGAAGAACAGATCCTGAACCCAGCGGCTGATTGCTTCAATGCCAGTACAGTATCTTCTGCTCAAGAGAGAAGCAGAACTCAGATCCCGAACCTGCAGAATGAGTTTCCTAATGACAGTAGCTTGCCTGTATAGATAATATCCTGTCCTCCCTTTGTGGGATGCTCTTTTTCATTATTGGAAGCCCTACTCTGGCTCTTGCCAGGGGCCTCAATATAGTACGCCCATATATATGGTCTAATGGCTGAACGCGGTTTCTGGGACCTCTCCACGGGCGATCCTCATCCACATGGTGGTACGTTTGTCATCGGGTGTTTATCGCTTGTGTGATGTCCTGGTGGGGTACAAGAAGATAGAGATAGATAGATAGATAGATAGATAGATAGATAGATAGATAGATAGATAGATAGATAGATAGATAGATAGATAGATAGATAGATAGATAGATAGATAGATAGATAGATAGATAGATAGATAGATAGATAGATAGATAGATAGATAGATAGATAGATAGATAGATAGATAGATAGATAGATAGATAGATAGATAGATAGATAGATAGATAGATAGATAGATAGATAGATAGATAGATAGATAGATAGATAGATAGATAGATAGATAGATAGATAGATAGATAGATAGATAGATAGATAGATAGATAGATAGATAGATAGATAGATAGATAGATAGATAGATAGATAGATAGATAGATAGATAGATAGATAGATAGATAGATAGATAGATAGATAGATAGATAGATAGATAGATAGATAGATAGATAGATAGATAGATAGATAGATAGATAGATAGATAGATAGATAGATAGATAGATAGATAGATAGATAGATAGATAGATAGATAGATAGATAGATAGATAGATAGATAGATAGATAGATAGATAGATAGATAGATAGATAGCCTGCTCATGATGATACAATGTGATATCCATTGATCCATTATCAAGAGATTCAATTATAAGCCTATAACCAGAGCACTCTGGGACTTCAGCTGTAGAAAGTCTTAATGAGCACCAGATTAACTAGATCATTTATTTGTTATAAATATAGGAGCAGTTTTGTTATGCTTTTGATCTAAAGTTATTTTCTGAGTCCCTTAGGCTTGTGAACCATAGTGTCTTCGCAAGTCGCAGATTTTTAGCCCTGATTATAGTTGACATTCTTTGTTGCTTCAAAATAATCAGTAAATGTTAAAATGTTACCTTCATTCTTATTATTTTAACCATAATTATGTATGGTGGTTCCACAAGAATGTTTCTTCATCTTTACTGTGAAATACAGTTGGGACCTATATCAATTGTGGGTTTGTCTTTAGCTAGATATTTCCCAGGTGTCCGTATTTTCCATTTCAGTGGGTCCTACCTACCATCTGGTTCCCACAACAGGAATTGTTGTCGACTTAATTAATACTATCCTGAAACTAAAAAAGTCGAGTTGTCGTTCTTCTTTTTGTGTGACACATAGCAAGTATTTCTAATACCGTAAAACATTTATATCCAGTAGCCATCGATAAGATGAGGATGATTATCTCGTTAAAACAGAGTAAATATTTGTAAGATACAATAACTAATAGTTAAAAAAACAAGCAAAGTAAAGGACCCTTTTCCACCCCCCAGGCGCATTGGGCATATAGGGCTAGACCTACATTTTATAGTGCAATCGGCACTTGGGGTGGGGGGGGGGGGTTGTGGTTGGGTGGGTGGGGATGTGGCAGCACGCCTTCTGGTACCCACTCAAATCTGTATCGACCAGGGAGCCGAGGTCATTTTTGAAAAACAAATTCGGTTCTGTCAGGACCCGAACCGACGAGCTTCCAGTCTGCAGGCGAGGGCGTAGCCGCTACATCACGGCAACTCCCACTCTAATTAATTTGTTGAAGATATTAAGATTACAAATGTTGATGAAGCTCATAATTAAAAAGCTCGTTTCCCAAAGCGTGCAGAGCAACTTAGTTCTACTTCCTGTGTGTATAGTGCACATGCTGGGATTATGTCTCCAAAACGTTTCGGTGATCGTTATAGTTTTCTGCTGATGTAAAATGCTCAATCCTATATTCAGTGTCGTCGGCGTCTGTGGCTTAGGCATTGCGAACGCGCTTCGTAATGCCAGGGTGCCGGGTTCGATTCCAGCGGTGGGCCTTGCGCCTTGCGTTGGTTTCGACAGTTGTATGGAGAAGCCGACCGTCCAAAAAGCAATGGCAAACTACTGGACGTACATTTGGCTAGAAAAACCACAACAACAAAAAATGCTGAGGTTGTTTGTGCAGCGTCCTGTAAAGGATCCACAACTAACAATATTCAGTGTCAGATTTATTTCCAAACGTAGAAAAAAAAAAGGGGGGGGGGGGGGTAAGTGGGATGCAGGGAAGTTTAGTAGAGATCCAGCTCAAGTTAAGATTAGCAAGACAAGTCATATTGCGTTAAAAGCAAAATAGTTTTCAAGGCTAAAAAAAATGTAAGCACAGTTTCTGTCAATTAGACGTTAAGAGTCAGCCTTCCATGTGGTTCTTAACAAATCACACATTCATGTATCCTTGCAATTCAGTTAAACATTAAACTTGTTTAAACAGTCCAAGTTGTTTCATTGTTGGTTGTGGGGGTAAGGGGGCGAGGGGGGGGGGTGGTTAGGGGCGATAATGTGGTGTTCAAATTCACAAGGATGAAACATTGCACTAATTGATATATGTTAGAAGCATCATAATCAATACACTCACATTATTTTCTTAACCTGTTGCAGTTGACCAGGTGTGCGATACCTATACAGATTGTAGTGGCGGAGAAGATGAACGGAACTGCCCAACAGACTGCTCGGGACAAAACCAGTTCAAGTGTGAGAATAGCGACAAGTGTATTGGAATTTTAGACAGGTGTGATGGGCATCCAGATTGCACTGACTATTCAGACGAAGCTTTTTGTGCAACTGTTGAGTGTGCAGCCGGGAGATTTAAGTGTGTAGACTCCAAAGAATGCATCGTAGCCCAGTATGTTTGCGACAGAGAAGCCGATTGCCAGGATGGTTCAGATGAAAGAAACTGCATCAACGGTACTTGCAGTAGCTACCAATGGCAATGTGCGGACAGCGACAGGTGCATACCTCACTCGTATGTATGTGACGGCGACCACGACTGTTTAGACAAGAGTGACGAGACAGGCTGTACTTGTCCTAGCACCCATTTTCAGTGCACCAACGGAATATGTATACCAGCTACTTACACGTGTGACGGAGATAACGACTGTGGGGATAAAAGTGACGAACTGAACTGTCCAGCGCTTCCTGGCAACTCATGCCAGGACCTTTTGACATTTGAAGACTGTTTTCGCATGAACGAAACAACACATCCAATCTGCTCAATTCAAGCTGACGGGGATAAATTATGTCGCAAATTCTGTGGCTTGTGCCATTAGCATTGTTGACTGAAACATACCATTATTAAAATATATGAAACATAGGTTATTTGTGTTATTTATTTGTATGTAAATTTCATGTGTATCTTCTGATCCTATTAAATGGTTACGTTTAAAGTTAATTCGAAAAAGTACTCTTTTTACCGGGCCACATATGTGCATCAATTTTCATGACTAACGTTTTATTTTTTCATTTTCAAGGTAAAGACTATACAGAAATTAGTGTGTTAATTAGTTAGGCGACATATTATCCTCATTACTTATCGAACCATTCAGTCCATAAGTGCTCAGATTCCCCTTTCAGTAAATTTCACACCCTTTAGCCTCCGGCCATACCAGTACTGTGTGGGTTTTTTATTCTTATTTGGCTTCTCGCATGGTGCTCTTGTCTGGCCACACGATGCTGTTCTTGCAATCTGGTCAAAGTTCTAATTTTGTTCTCTCGAACGACTTACTTCTCGTAGAGCATTCTGTATATCAACCAGGTGCATGGCACGTGCACGTCAGTCTCCTGCACCTCACCCCCCCCCCGCCTCTTTCCCACCTGCAAGCCGATCAGGTTGCTCATTTCCATGCACACCTGTGTGCCACGAACAAGCATGAAACTGATATGCTCCGCTCCGATCACCTCAGAGACTCCAAACACTGTCTTTGGACCCAGGCTATCCCTATATTCTTGAGCATACTCATTAAGTCAATAAGAAAAAATGAGCGGGTGAAGATCTGTTGTCTCCAGCCATGTTATTGTGTTTGTCACTTATATGACCTCTCTGGCCAAGGCTACTTCTATTTAAAGCAAAAGCACCAGAATCTTGCTTCACAATTCTGTTAACATTCATTAGTGGCGCAGAAGGCATGCGATGATAAACTCGTGTGCGTTGGTCTGGTTACCCACCTCCGGCCACAATTACTTCAATAACCTGGTGAAATCGTTCACCATGCTCATCAATGACACACAGCCCCATGTTTGACTTGACAGACAGCTCCATGTTTGACGTGACAGACAGCTCCATTTTTGACGTGTCAGACAGCTCCATGTTTGACGTGACAGACAGCTCCATGTTTGACGTGACAGACAGCTCCATGTTTGACGTGAAGAAATCCAGATGAGAACTCAGAAAATGAATTCTCGAAAAAACTTAGTCGTCAGAAGTCTTACATTTCAGAGGGAGATTTTTGTAAGTTTTCATTGCACACACAAAGCGGATAAGACCAGTTGTTTTAAGTGGCTCTAAAACCTGGAGCACGTCTAGCAGAGATGAAACTTTACTACACATTTTTGTTAAAATACAGTCTTTGACGAATCTTCGGACCCGTCAAAGATGCACACAGCAGGCAATGAAGAGTGAGAAGCAACAACGAAATTCATAATCGGTTTAAACCATAACTGATCACTGGTATCATGAGAGCTAATAGACTGAAATGGCTCGGGCATATTAAGAGAATGTCAGAAGACAGAGAAGTAAAAAAAAAATGTAGACACAAGGAAAATGAAGCCTTATTACACATTTTCGAGTCTTACGTCGAATCTTTGGACCCGTCAAAGATGCAAACAGCAGGGAATGAAGAGTGAGAAGCAACAACGAAATTCATAAACGGTTTAAACTATGATCACTGGTATCATGAGAGCTTAAAGACTGAAATGGCGGGAGCATATTGAGAGAATTTCGGATGACAGAGAGGAAATAAACTGAATACTGGAGAGCTAATGTACGTAGACCACGTGGCAGACCAAGAAGATGATGACGTGATAATGTTCAGACAGATCTGCAAACACTTGGTGTCATCATCTGGAAAAGGAAGGTTAACAAAAAAGGTGAACTGGGCAGGGTGATATCTGCAACAATTAACCTCAAGAGCTCAGGATGATAAAGAAGAAGATGCAAAGAAACTCGTCATCATGAACTCAAAACTGTGTGCCCGCTAGCAAGCGTCTAGCCAATGGGCTCAGCTCCTACATAAGACAGAAGAATACTTTTATTGTCTAGCATACATGTTTTTATTTTTACTTTTTATTTTCGACACTTTTATTCCAGGGAAAGAACGACAACAACAAAAGTACAATGTTTGTCTCCTCTAGCTTGCCTGTTTTTTTTTTTTTTTTTTTTAAATATAAATACATATTGTCCTGCCGTTCGTTTCTGTTACGTGACATATGAGAATACACGTTCTCAAATATCACATAACCCTGGACCCGTTATGGTCGTGGAGGTGTATCGATGGAAGCATTACCACACAAAACCCACTATCTTTGTCCGTCTTCCGCTGGGCGAATGAGTGTATGATAACTTAGTCCTGTCCATTTCTTGATGTTGTCATTCCAGAATCTTCTTTGCCTTCCTCTTCTTCGACTACCCCTACCACCACCCCCCCCCCCCCCCCCCCCCACCACATCATTTCTTCAATATTCATTAAAAATAGTCTTTGAAATCGAATCATGTCTCACCACGTGACCGAACCAAGTTAGCGAGAGGTTCCTAGTGTGCTGCAAATTTGTATACTTTGTCTCTGACATCGCAATAGCCATAGCAATGCAGCGATTGAACAGTCTTAAAAGTCTATGGTTAAGCACCAGCATGGAGATCAAAATTAGAATTTCAAGAGCATGCATCTTCCCTGTGGCTACATGCGGATGTAAGTCGTGGACATTCTCTCAGTCCTTAAGAAAGAGAATAGGGGCCTATGAGCTGAAATGCTATAGAAAGATTCTCAGAATATCTTGGACAAAGAAGATGAGAAATATTGACATCTTAAAAGATCTGAACATTAAGAAAGATTGGCTAATAAACAGCATCCTTTCACGAAAGCTGAAATGTTTTGGTCATATCAAGCGCCACGAGGGATTGGAAAAAATTATAACAGAAGGCATGGTACCAGGAAGGGGAGGCAGGGGCCGACCGACACGAAGATGGGCACAGGATATAAGTGACACCTTGAGTGTGAAAGTGCATGAGGCAGGAGAACTGGCCAGAGACCGAGTTTCTTTCAGGCAGACTGTGATGAGAGCGACGTTCTGCAAAGGACGTTCTGCTACATGATGATGTCTCTGACATATTTGTTAGTCTTTTGTTCTAAATAACTAATTCGTAAAATGCGTCTACAACATTTACATTTGAAAGCCTGAATCCTCCTCTTCATTTCCACGGTAAGAGTCCAACTCTCACCTTCTTGTAAGAAAATAGACAATACCAGTGATTTGTTAATATTGACTTTAACTGTGATGTTGATTTTGTTCTTCCATATTGTATTCAGCTCGGACATCCCAGCTGTTGCCAAATCAAGTCTTGTCTTGATCTCTTTGGTACAACTGCCTTCGTTACATATGTGGAAGTATTCTTCTGTGTATTTAAATGTTTTAACTTCTTCTAGTTTCTTTCTATTGTATCTGTTTGTTGGTAGGTACTTGATTATTGTGGCTATTACCAGAATCTTGTTTTTCTCGGAATTAATTTCCATGCCATTTTTACCACAGAGTGTCTCCAATTTTGTAGCAAGTTCTTGAAGTTCTGCTTCGAAACCAGCCATGCGATCAATGTCGTCTGCAAAATTTAAATTGCATAGTGGTCTTCCGCCAATGTATATAGATGTTTTATGATTTTCTAGTGTTTCTCTCATGATGTGTTCCAAACATAAATTAAAAAGGTCAGGAAGCAGTCTGTAACACTGTCTCACTCTCAAACTTCTTATTTTTCAGCATTCCGAGCCCTTGTGGTTCATTGCTGCAGAGATCACCCGCCTCCATTCATCTCTCTGGTTGGCCTTATCTTTCCGGTTGGTGACACCAAGTGTTTGGAGGTTTGTCTAGACATTATCTCTCCATATTCTTGTTGGTCTGCCTCGTGGTCTGCGACCACTCATCTCCCTTGTGTATACAGTTTTTACTTCTCTGTCATCTGACTCACTCCCACACTAGTTTTGAAAAATCTGCCTATGTTATTTTAAATGAATACTGCATGCTTGCTTTATTTATTTTTTTTAAATTTATTTTTTTCGTAAAGTGCTTCAATGATGTCTATGGTGTTCTTATCGAAGTTGAAATTTCTCATTATTTGCCAGAGCCCAGAATGCTACACGCAGTGAAATGCCTTTGTGAAGTTGATGCAGTTATGGAATAGGTCTCGTTGATATTGTAAGTGTTTTTCTATCATTGTTTTGACATCGAAGATTTTTTCTGTGGTGTCTCCATTTTTCCCGGAAACCCGATTGTTCTAGTATTTCTTTGGATTCTGCGTTTAATCTGTTAAACAGTTTCTTGGGCATTATTTTTGCTTGCTTAGGTGAAAAGACTGATAGCTCCATAACTGCTGCAGCTTTTTAGATTTCCTTTCTTTGGCAGTGGTATCACTAATGATTGTGTCCATTAATTAGGCCACTTCTTTCTGATCCAAAAATTCTCTGGCACACCTCTGTCATCACCTTTGTTACGTGTTCTCCTCCATATTTAGTGTGAAAGTCGTCCCCATTTTGGATGATCGTCACCTCGTGGGATGCAATTTTTTGGGTTTAAAGCCGCACCCTGTCTTCTACACAGGGGCCATGAATATAGCCGGAGCATAGATCGGCCCTAGCCATATATATGGCCATTATAACGGCTAAAAGGAGTTTATCGGACCTCTCCACGGGTGATCCTCATCCGCATGGTTGCACTTTGTGTCACTGGGTGTTTATCGCTTGTGTGATGTCCTGGTAGGGTACAACTA